TGAAATGATTAGGGTTTTTTAAAAAATCTAACCGATTTATCCCGTGAAAGAGTAGGAACGAATAGCAAGAACGTTTATCGAAGAATGAAGCTCGTTTAAAGGATCTCGTTTCTAGCCTCCACTCCTTTTGCAATTAGCAATCCTTGTCACCCAGGTTCTACGTAATGCGGTCATAGTACGCATTAGGAGATAGTATTCTTAAGAGAAAAATGTAACCTACATTCTGACAGAACGCTCGATAGCGACCGCCACGGGGTAGGGATGGGATGAAATTCGAACGTTTCAAATTTAATGACTTGAAAATTCCAGTTAAATTTTTCACGATTCAAGCATCGCGCCGTAATCTAAAATGTATTAGTTACAAGAATTCAATTATTTTATTCGACGCTTGACGAATGAGGGAGAAATATATAAGATTCCCATTCAAGAAGGATAAAAGAAGTTTTAGATTTCAATGTTCAACCGGTCCCCGACAAAAACCCTCTGGTGTTGCTTCAATTACAGCAATTGCACCCTTGAGCAGCGTCATTAACACCGATTACCATTTATGGAACCGTAAGACTTTGACCGCAAAAACGAAGCTTGTCGAGCAATTTCAATCCCCTGTTAGCATACTTGGAACATCGAAAAGTTGTGAATGTTTCGCGAGAACACGATACAAGGTGTTGTAACAACGCAAGAAGAGCGGTAACAACGTCGTCCTTTACTTCTCGCCACCCTATAAATATAAACGTCTCACGCTCTGTACACTAGCTTTCGTGTAATGATCTTTTTTCCCACCCGCCACCCTGTTCTTCTTTGCTTCTGCGTGTCCTTGCACGGCGAGAAACTGGTGGAGTTTGTAATTAATTTTCAGGGGCTGGCAACGCGATATTAACCCTTCCCGCTGGAACGTTCTCTGCTAATCTCCAGACAGGAGAGAAATTTTGACCTTTATGGTTACCGTGCTAACACCAGGAAGGTAGGCTTCCCTAGGGGAAACAGCGATGAGAGGGAAAGAGATCTCGTCATTTTTATAAAACTCGAAAGTTAAAAAGTATTATGAATAAATCTTTTCATAAAATTTAAAATAATGAATGGAAAGGAGATTTAAAGAAGACAGCGAGAATAAAAGGACGAGCAGCAAATAGAAATCCTACGGTAATCTTAGCATGTTCTGGCTCATTGACGTTATCTAGCTGGGATCGCTATTTCGCGCCTCGAGCACGGATAATTTATTATTGCAGCCCCTCTTGGTTGCATGTGTTATCGATCGAAGATGGTGCTTTTAACGGGCTATCGGAGCTGCGATTCTGGCAAGCTTGTTTCCTTCGTTCGACACCGTCATTCTAACAAATAAATCGATTCTTCGTATGTCGTGTTCTGTTCAAACTTTTAATTCCTCGATTTTTCCTGCCCTATAATATACTTTCATCAATTTTCAACGACGCGTTAAATTAACGATGATTGAGGTATGTCAAATCCTACCTATCCAGTTAATGGTTAATATTTCGTTAACTTTAAATTATATAAGAAAACAAACGAGAAGAAAATTTATTAGGCTAATAAAAAAAAGGTAGTTGCATTTACCGATGTTAATCAGCACTGAACTCTAGAAAGTATGCCAACGAGAATATTTTAATTGTCCGTAATCACGGCAGGGCGAAAGCCGAGTTACAATTTCAACGGGAAAGTCGAATAGCAAACTTTACGATTACTCGTACACGATTCGACGCTACTTTGCAATCTTCCGTCGGATCTGTACAATTTCAACCCCCTTTACCTTGTCATTTCCACCAAACGAATCCTACTCTTTGATCATCACGGTATCACACGAAACTTCCATTTTTTCTATTACCATCGCATTTTTCTCTCCCTTTCCTTGTTACTCCATAACGTACGCGAAAGCGTTAAATCATTCCAATGTTCTATTTCGTCGCAATCAGATGCACAAATGCCTCAAGTTCCTTTTAAACGCGGATACTTTAATGAACGCGACTACTCTGATGCCCGCGAACTCCTCCTCCTACGATTCTTTCCCTTTTGTCACGCTTGTTTTTACATTTCGAGAAGCAGACAGGTCGAAAGTGGAAGACCGAGAGAGGATAAAAAAAAGAATGAACGAAAAGTAGCGACGATTCTTTCATCCCCCGCGAGCTGAAAGGTTAAAAAGCACAAAACCGAAACTCGATAGGCGTTCGCTGGTATCTGTGTGAACATCTGTCACAGATACGCGTCGAACGACAGACGAGATTAAAGAATCTCGTTGTATCGCGGATCGTTTCCTTTTTACCTCTCTGGCACACTTTCTCCCTTCTCTCCTTTTTTTTTCTTTTTTTTTTCGCTTTATTCCATTTCATCCGGGACTCTGAGAAAATCGAACAAACGGCTCCGGCCGGAATATTCGTCGCCGATTCTTTCGAAACGGCGCGAAGCTTCGAGCGGAATAGATTCGCGAATTGCATAAAAGAATCATTGCCTTCCTTCGAGCCGAGAATTTCGGTTGCGAGACCCGATTATATAATTTCGTCGAACTTTCAAGCGAACCGACTGAAGGTTGCCTGAAACACTGGCCAACTAGAATTTAAATATTCTCCATTGTGGATCATTATTTTTGCTATTAAATTCAACGAGAATGTCGAAGACAGTAGATCGGAATATAAGATAAAGGATTCCACAAAATGGGTGTCAATTCTTTCGACTATCTCAAATAGGATCCCCTTGGCTGGACGTTAAGTACAATTCGCATGGAACAACACTCGCGGTTCCATTTTCTTTATTTTCGCTCGGCAATTGTGCTGCAACGACAATACACGAATCACTGTCGTCTGCAGCGTAAGACGAGAACGCGATGAAGGGTGGTAGGTAGTTGTCGATTAGAAGAAAATCGAATACGCAACCCTTCGAAACGAGCGAAAGGGATAAGCACCATTGACGTGGCTCGGTTGAGTCGCGTTCAGGCCGGATATAATGACAGAAGTGTCAAAATTCAAGGCATTCGGAACAATGAACGCAGTGGTACAATGGGTGGAAAACGAGCACGCTTTTGTACTAAAATAAGTGGAAAGCATCAATTTCTGTCCGCCTCGCCGGAACGAACGATTTTATTCAACTCCTTCGAGATACGATAATGCAGGGGTTTCTCTTTTTCGAGTTAGAGAAGGTAATTAAATTTTGTCCATATAATGATTTTATTTGCTCCCCAGATAAAAATTCCACGCCACAAATCAACGAAATTTTCAAAGAAAGTCAGAGTTACTAAAATTTCCTGATTAATAACGTTTTTAGAAGTTGAAGACTCTGAACAATGAGCAAGATACCTGTTACGCTAAGTTTCTAGCTTTTACATTTATCAAGTAGCTCTTTGGTTTCTTCGAGGAAGAAGATTGAAAGAATACTGTTATCTGATTACTCGAGTAATCCACTCATTCATCCGGTGACTCGGGAAATCCATTAAACGGACACATAGTTTCGGACAGCGAAGATCAGCCGATCCTCTTTTCAACGCGAGACATTGAGAATAGAAAATTTAATCGGGATATTAACCCTGCGCGTGGTATGAAAATGGACCCCCATAGACGCGTAATATGTCTACGTCGAAGGTAACAATGTGGTCCTCCCCATAAAGAGCTTCTACATGAGTCGAACGCTTTGAAACGATACGAAAGGTCGACCAAAAGATATCGACGATATATTATAACACGTCGTCTGAAGAGAAGACACCTTGATACATTGTGTAACCATAGAGGATTTTCATCTATTCAACGAAACAACCTGTAACTGTTAGAGCAAGCAAAACACCGGCGAATCCTTTCTGGTTCGCATTAACCACCCGTGGTTCTTAGCAGGGTGGTAAGGAGATTGTTTGCACGAGTAGCTGAGTGATCGGCTGTTTTCATTTGTAAAACAGCAGGGATGTTATTTGAATGCAATTCTTCTAATGATGATATTTTCAATCCCATCAACTTGTGATTTATTTTCTCAGTAATTTTACCATAAGTATCGTGAGTCACCGGCACTTAATACTTTGGTGATACAGAAGTATCCGTAAAAGGAGATTTCCATTCGTGCCTATGAATATAAATGACTCGTTTTAGTCGAAACGATACTTGTCAAAATTGAAATAAAACATTATCTTTATTAATTTTAAAGTTCGTTCGTGTGAACGTTACTACATATATTGATGGGATAGCAGTAAACTGATGGAAGAATGGTAGAAGCGGTGATAAAAGTGTTGGATTTTCGATACAACGAATGGTGTATATGTCAAGGTGTCGATTTCATCGATCGTTCACACGTCGACATTGCAAAAGCATCGTGTTCCCGTAAATTTTCTACCGTTACAGTTGAAAAATAGCGAGCACACAAATTTCAGATCACTTTTTCCTATTGATCCGCATATTCAGTACCAAACTACTTTTTATATTTTCTAATCTACCTCTATTTAGAAACATCAAATTTTTATTTGATTATTAATGTGTCCGATTTTCTTATTAAGTCACCCCTTCCCTAACACATGTATACATATACGAAGTTTAAACACAATAGGAGTGTGGTAGTATTCCCGAGATAAGCCGTATCTTTTGATAAAACGCCTGATGTTTAGTGCGCTAATTATCGTTGCTGATTACTTCACGTAAAGTGTAATTTCCAATTTATATATTTTCATGTATTTTTTTAATTATTTACCAATTCGCGCTTTGAACGGTACCTTTATCACCATCTAGAGGCAGATGAAGAAACTAAGGCCATGAAAGATGATGGTTTATTAATAAAATAAACAATTTTTGCGCTATATTCATGGGATAACAATAAGTGGAATAATAGCATTATAGTTTCTTTAAATGTTGAGATCAATGAATAAAAAAAATTTCATCTTGTGCATTTAGCAATAGCCCGCCCAAAACTTGCGGCCCAGATTTTGTTTACTTTTCCTGGATTATCAGACTTTTACAATTTGTTATGTAACTCATATACATTCTGTAAATGATATATTGCAAGAACAGCAATATAGATTATTTTTTATAGCCGTATAATCGAATTTATTGAATGGTATTCCAATGGGTTGCCGTTAGATGGCTTATATTCTGTTCCCTGTTGCATACGTCAGTGAACATACGCGTGGCGTTGAGGGAAGCTTTATAAGTGATGACCCATATCAGAATTCTTCTTAAAATTATACTATGCAGTACGATCACAATTTAGTCATATAATTCAGAACAATCTGATTGAAATACAGTGAGAATACAAGAATCTAATGACTGTGTCGTTTAAGAATGATGCATCTACAACATGACATTGCCTGTTGCATTTCAGTTTTATTTGTTTTAAGTGCTGCCAGAGCAGATTTCCAGGATTATCTGAATATTCAGGTAAATGAATATATTAATCGATATAGTTGTAGAGAGAAATAACAGTAGAATAATTATACTGACAATGAATGTGACAATATAGAATAAAGTAATGTGAATATTGTAATTTATTATAATATATTAAAAATGTTCAATCTGAATTTTTGCTATTGCAGCATCGTGCTCTGCATTTGCCTGAACAGAAATTTGGTTTGAACGAGTATTCTGATAATGAATATTCTGATAATGATGAAAGGGACAGAGAATCTTCAGCATTACAGTGGAATCAAATGCCTCTATTGTATAAGAATGGTCATGTACCCAAAACTAATCCAAATTCAGAAACACATAACTTAGATGTGCTTGACAAAAGTGAGTATAACAAATCTCTATAAATCTATAGATTTTAAAGAATACATGAGTTTACTGATGCGTACAGATATAATATGGGATTCTCATTGGGCCAATAATACAAAGTTTGGTCAAATATCAGCAGTGTCAATAGATCCAAATGGCAACATTGGAATATTCCACAGAGCATCACGTATTTGGAATGGAGATACATTTGATAATGAAGATAAATTTGATAGAAATAAAGGACCTATTCGGGAAAATACTATAATTCTTCTAGATAAGTCTGGGAAGAAAATATCAGAATGGGGTGGAAACATGTTTTATCTACCGCATGGTTTGACAATAGACTCTTATGGAAATTATTGGGTTACAGATGTAGCTTTACATCAGGTGTTCAAATTTGATGCTAAAGATATAGCAATGATAGAAGATACCAAAAAGTTGAAGAAAAGGCAATATAATCAAGAAAGAATGTTCTCAAACAATTATGATTCTAATAGCATGTTTCAAGACTATGTTCCTAAACCATCACTGATTCTTGGAGAAGCCTTTGAACCTGGTAATGATGACAAGAGGTTTTGCAAACCAACTGCAGTGGCTGTAGAGAATGATGGTGACTTCTTTGTAAGCGATGGTTATTGTAATTCCAGAGTTATTAAGTTTAATGCCAAAGGAGAGAAAATTTTACAATGGGGCCGACATTGGGGCGAAGGAGGTAAAATCTATGTTTCATATGTATTTAAAAAAGAATAATCTAAAATCTTTTATATCTGAAATCGATTTTATTTTGTAGGAAGCGTGGATGAACAGGTCCCTACAACATATGCATTTTACGTACCTCATTCTCTAGCCCTTGCTAACGAATTGAAATTAATTTTTGTTGCTGACAGAGAAAATGGTCGAATTTTATCTTTTTCTACAAGCGATGGAGTTTTTCATAAAGAATATAAACACCCTACTATCGGTACAAAGATTTATGGTGTGGCATATACTAAAGATAAACTTTATCTAATAAATGGTCCTGATCCAAACACAAATTATAACGTCCATATCCGAGGATTTGTGCTAGATATTTATTCTGGGAATATATTATCTCAATTTGCACCGAAACACGATATGGACAGACCTCATGATATAGCTGTGTCTAACGATGCTTCGGAAATATATGTAGTAGAATTGAACATACAAACTGTTTACAGATTTTTACAAGGTAAGATAAAGAGAGATAAAGCATAATAGAAAATGCAGTATTTGTGGTTTCTTCACATGAAAACGTTTGAGAAAAAATGTATTCTTTACAGATATAGATGCATCAGAACAAACTGGGAATTCAGTGGCGCGCACAAATCCTCGTCATGAACTATCACCATTAACGGATACTAACTCTGATAATCTTTCCTCTGGAGGTACTACAACAGCAACATTAGTCTTGTCCCTTGTTACAGCAGCAGTCATTTTTATTGCCCTCTGTGTAGCAATTGCTGCAGTTGTAGCAAGATGTCAGAAAAGAGGTAGATTGTTTCAGTATGATGAATCCGCTGTCGAATTCTCAAAACTAGTCGAATAAGAATATTCATTTGACTAATTTTGAGTTATTGAATAATAGCTGTGCACGCATGTTTATTAGTATAGCCAGAATCAAACGTTTGGTAGAAATTTGATCAAATCTAGTTAATTTTAATGACCTAGTAAAGCAACTTCTTGAATAGTTAGTAAATGAAGGAAAACTAATGATTTACTGTAGATTAAAATCCGACCAGCCGGTGCTTTTTTTCTTAGTTTCATAAGAAATTGTTAACGTTTTTGCTGTGTAAAATCTGACAAACTTCTGTACTGGCTTTGCATGTATCTCATGTAACATGATACTATTTTATGATTTTATAGAAAAATTAAGTATCAAATGTTAGCATTTTTATTTAAATTGTAAATAATATGTTGCTTTGCTTTTTATTTTCATACATTTGTATCATAAAAAGAGCTATGAAACATTGTTTTAAATTTCTGTTTCATACTTAATACCATTAAATACTTTTAATATAAACATAGTTAGAATCTTTTTATAAAAGACTGTTTTAGAACTAGGCCAGTACAAGAAGGTTGTGTATAAATGTATGATTTATTGAACGAGTACTATTCTGATATTTTGAATTTCTACTACAAGCGTACTTGGAAGTACCCTTGAGTAAATTATTAGCATAATATAATAATAGTATTCATCCTTCCTATTCTACAAGAAACTTTTATTGTAAAAATTAATTACATGATTTGTTCCCAAATTAGGAACAAGCAATCAAATCTTAACGCTCCTACTGTTTCACTTCCATTTAAACAGTAGAATATTTAGTTATCTATGTACTTATTATGTAAATATTGTTTAAAGTTTCCTGTGATCGCACAAATGTAAGAATAATTTTTTATTTATAGTCTTATTATTGAACTTTGTATTGTATACAAAGAAAAAGTACTCTGTACCAAAAGCTGAATGTTTGTTTTTAATGAATTTTTTGCGCATAATCAATTTTATTTTATACTTCACATATATGATTATTTATTTATTTTAGATGCCTAGATCTTGTAAAAGCAAATATACATGTTTTCATTTCAACAATGTTTTTTGTTATTCCCCTATGCATTATCCTATTTAACTTCAATAATATTCAACAATAATTGTGTAAGTATTTTATAATACATAGTGCATGATGCTTAAAAAAATGTATTTCAATGCTTTGACGCATTTTTGAGGAAAAAATAGATGATAAATATAAAGATAATGTAAAATAAGGGTGCCATTACTATCAAGTACAAGTATATTAAAATTCAACTATTTACCAGAGGTATTCTAATTAAATTTATTTGTTATAAACAGGATGTTTGTTAATAATGCGCAAACGAATGCATTGGGAAGCTGAGAGGCGAGGAAACTTTAAACTCTCAGGTCTGTTGGAAAACAGAAGAGGCAAAAGCTTCAAGATATTGGAGAAACGACCAAATCCGCGAGACTTTAGTAAATTGAACACGGAACCAGAAACATCAGAGGATGAACATCCCGAAAACAGTTTTACAAAAATCATTTAATTCCATCAAACAGTTTTGACAAATTCGCTTTCATTTTCAATGTATTACGTATACACGATGCAGATTTGAATTTGAGACGCCATGACGCTTACCTTTTATAACGGACGTTTGAATTCGAAGCCTCATCAGACACCTCATAACTGTTGTCCTTTGACTTCCAAACACTTGATTGTTCAGTTAAGTATGCTAAACCGTTTTAATTTAAACAAACCAATATAATGAAACCGATTTATATTCGCTAAAAATGTGATATAATATCAGCGCGGCACAATTTCGCCGTGTATTCGTACACTACCGCCATCGTAGCTCGCCAAACGACGCGTCGTCAGCCGTAACCGGAAGTACCCGAATACGTCATTATTTGTTTCTTGAATATTGTTAATTAATATATTTGAATTTATTTAATTATATTTAATGCAAAATATGATTATTATGAATTTTTTAAAAATAACTGCGCCAAAAAAAGTATTATAATCTTCCTTTTATATTTAAAAACAAGATATTGCGTAGTACGATATATACGTATATACGTCATTATTTGTTTCTTGAATATTGTTAATTAATATATTTGAATTTATTTAATTATATTTAATGCAAAATATGATTACTATGAATTTTTAAAAAATAACTGCGCCAAAAAAAGTATTATAATCTTCCTCTTATATTTAAAAACAAGATATTGCGTAGTACGATATATACGTGTGGGCGTCTGGGTGTTTTGCATGTTAAAGCGTTATTCAAAACGAAGTTCCGTTCCCGCTTTTTTCGTTGAATATTAGAGTTAAAAGTTGTCTTTAACAATTGCCTTTTGCTAATACGGTGCAATTAGTAATTTTAAAGAACTGCCGATATTTGAAATATTGCGTTTTTCTATTAATACATTATTTTCGCGATCAATCTTATAAATTAGTTTGTGACTAGTGCAAATAAGAGCTCAAACTTTTCTGTGAAGATATACAACAGGTAACATGCAACTGTTTAACCTTTTAAATATTTAATATTTTGTCACTTCGAACACATTTGATATTGTATTATATATTTATTCTCAAAAATGTTAAAGTTTGTGTAAAATATTAGCCAATGTATAGAAGATACTGAATATTCTATTTGTTGAAAATGCTGAATATAGCAAACCAATATATTTAATGTATGTTCAACATTTAAAAGAATTGATTCTGAAAATATTTATTTGAAAATACTGTAACTTACCTGATAATAATGGCCTTGCAAATAATATTTGAGAAGCGACCAAATTCTTGTCGTACCTACTAACTGTTAATATCTGTTTACAAAGTATGTCATAAACTATCTGCCATAAAACACTAACATATCCTTCTAAAGCTTTCAAAAATACATATAATTACAGCATTTGTATCTCATTTTAAATATGTTTGCATCTTTATAATTATGTTTACTTTAGTCTTTTAACATTTACTCTTATACAAATGTGTTCGGTGGAACCTAAAACAGTATTTTCCTCGTACCTGAAGATATATTTTGTACTATTGAGTACAATGAAAGTTTCTATGCACATATTTGACTTGTCTTTATACCCTCTATTCTACTCTTTCTTCAAATATTAATTGAATATTCAATTAATGCAATTATTCCATCTCTTGTGAAGACGCTATGAATACTTTTATGTATAATACCATAAACATGATATATGTACTCTTCAATATACAAATGTATATTTTCAAATAAAAATGGTGTTTATACTATTATGAACCAATTAAAGATTTTCTCAGATGATTGAACATAGAATCATTAGTGATGCATGTGATTTAGCAAAGAAAATAACATAATTTTTTATTATTAAATATTTTAAAATTTTTAAAATTACGAATAACAAAGTAAATATTAATTAAGGCCACAGGTCTATATACATTCATATATGAGGTCTCCTACCCATACATTGGCATTCTCCTCAGAACCGTTTAAGGGGGTGGTCGGGGAACTCGTGAACTTGGGTAGGGGGGGCCTACGATAAAAGCCAGGAATATATCGCTATTTTTCTCAGGGCAACCTACCATGTTCGGTATTGTACATACACACAAGGAGTTTGACTTTTAGATAATGATTTATTTTACACACTTAGTTGTCCTCTATACACAACTATACAACGATAAAAATTAAAATTCTTCTATTTATCACTAATTAAGGTCATCCACGATAATGATTTGTGTTGAAGATGCATAAAGTCAGTCCACTTTGTTGCGGCACATTTAATCAAATATGGTTAATTGCTCGCAAACGGTACGGACCAAGATAAAAAAGAAAACCAAAAACGTCCACGTCAAACATATATAATTGATCATATCGTTGCAAAATATCCAGGCAATTCAATTCGATCGTTAACAAGCACGACACTAGATTCGATCCACTCACGCAGATGATAATAAATAAATATTACTGTCTTTCGCGTATTCAACGAGAACTATGACTCAATTACACTCGTAAGCACCGTGTTCGCGGTTCTTATTTTTAAATATGTATAAAAATGTGCCAGTCGGTAGCATAGAAAATATGTATTGCAGAAGAAAACGGAAGGGTACGAGAACGAAAAGGAAAAGAAACGAGTGAACGGTTGAAAGAGTCAGTTCGAGTATAAATTATTTCATCCCGAACACAAGTCACACCAGCAGGATGAGATACCATTATAACATCCTCGTCACGCGGTCATACTTCATCCCTTTTTTTTATCTTTCTTGTTTGTACATTAAAAATCGTATACGTTTCGTAGTGATACACTGACAACTGCATATTCGTTAATTTCATGTTTATCACTAAATTGTACCTAAGACTACCGTAAATTCGTAACTATAGTCCTTCCAACGAGACGAGTCTGTATATGTTTACAAATTCACATGCTCGACACACGGGGCGGAGATCGCAGTTGTTATCGGTTCTTCAAACGCTTCGGTCGAGCTCTGTGTACATACTGCGAATCGGGTCTGCTTCGAGCACGAGAATCTGTAAGTACACATTTATTGTCTCGTCTCGTTAGAATAGTCGACGTTTTTATTAGTGGTGCCGCTTTATTTTTCCCTTGCAATATCATGTGCACGGCTGGTCACTGTCGAGGAAAAACGAAAAACGGGAACAGCGGGCCCAAAATATCACAATGTCCAAGTATACTCGCTTTCGTTCGTTCGTTCGTTCGTTCTTAAATGAGATATCGTGTTCGCTTACAATACTCGATTATTATTAATATTAGACGTATACTCTATTTACAAAACTTACGCCTCGGTGTACAACAACAGAACAATCTATATTTATAGCGTTCTAGGAAATTAGCCGGGAAATGCGGTATACGAAGGTGCTAACTTGTATTTTAATTACTCAAAGTACTGTTGTTCCTCTCATGCAAGACCTCACGGGTACACACATACGTTTACACATTGACCTTTTCGAAACGAAGATTTCTTGTTTTGAATTCGTTTCAACGTCTCAAGAATCTAAACCACTTTGTGATCGATATAGAAAGCAAAACAAAGAAAAACTAGCTCCTTTATCGTCTCGTTTAATCGTTATTAAAGCTTGATGCGATCGTTGAACAGGCTCGTGGTCATTTCGCGTGAACGTGTGAAATGTAGGTAAGTTAGGTGAAAATCAAGAGATACCCTTTGGTTTCTATTACACGGATTCGTGAAAGGAACTGCAAACAATCGGGGGATCCTGAATCTTGTAACCTTGCTAAATTGGTCAAGTAAAAATAACTTAGCCGTTTCATTATACGCGAAACTTATCAATAATGATCGTAATTCTTTACTATATTTACAATACCATACATAATTACTATAATAACTTGTCGTATACTTTTCGTTACACCGTGCAGCGACTCGTGAATTTCGTACGTGTAAATTCTAAAAATTCCGAAATTCTTGCTGAAACAGTACGTAACATAGAATAAATAAATTGTTCAAGAATACATTCGGATTGCACTTAAGCGAACCTCACATGCTTTAATGAGCAGTAGGTACGATTCTGAAGTAATGATAGATTAAAAGTAATCATTTAAAATGTAATTGTGTTAGAAATAGTTTGAACGTATAAAATCGTCCGACGAGCACCGGTGATAGTGTTAATATATGCATATATGACGTAACCACGTCAGTGTTGCACAGCTTCTTCAATGTGACACGAATCCTTTCGTGGAAATCGTTTTTCCATCTTCACTTTACCGCCTCCTGTTCTCGGAAACTTCCTCATTTTATAATATTTTTTCAAAATTCACCGTATACTTCTTGTTACTCCGAACATCGCGCGTTATCGTCAAATTGTTCCTCTATGATTGCACCACAGATCAATTCGTAAAATTTCCAATTAATCGGTAATTAAAATCAACATTTAGAACACGTAGAGAACGAGATAAAATTCGTTGTTGCTGTAGCTTCTGTTATCTTGTCCAGAGACTAGGCTAAATTTTCCATTGTTTTCCAAGAGTGTTTTTACTTCCGTAGTGGGCAACCACGAGCAAATAGAAATATATCCTCGACCAACGAGTATTATTTCTTCTGATCACGCGTTACCCTGCACGCGGACTGTACGGAACCGTCTCGTCGTCCACCAAGGGAATCATTGAAACGTTTCCCCGATAAAACCATTGAGAGTAGAGTTAATAGAGAATCCCGGAACACCTCAGTAAACGGAATTGTACTCGATGTCGTGGGCATATTGAGGTGGTCCTGCGGGTGGCGGCGGTGGCTGTGGACTGTATTGTTGCGACGCATCCGAGGCACGACGTCTCAGCGCCGCGATGCTGTGCGCGCCTCTCCAATCCGACGCTTCGGTCGCGTTCACATCGGCGGCCACGCAGGAAACACCACCGCCGCCACCGCCACCGCCTCCGCTACCGGAAGTCGTCCCAGGCGAGCCCTGACCGCAGTTCAAGGCCGATCCAAGCCCGCCACCCTGACCTCCGCCCACGCTCGATCCTCCCGGAGGCGAACCCCGGGACGCCGTCACGTGTACACCCCCTGAAAATCATAATATACAAAAGTTGATTTTATTTATAATCCATCGAATTTCTATGGTCTCAGCATTGTTCATTCGGTGAATCGAATAGCCGTGTTTGAATCCCTTTAGCCGAGAGCCAGGTAGCGAAAGGGCAATTCACAGGTGCGATACCGCAGGTACACGGTAGAACGTTTCCTTTCTTCGCAGTAGATATTAATACGGTAGGCTCACAAAGTGTATGGGGTTGTGCTACCGGGTGTCGTAAAGTCGTTTCCGCCTCTTCGTACGCCACGTTGGTGGCCTCTGGGAGAGAGACAACGGGGAAAAGGGATCCTTTTTATGACGGTATCGTTGCGACTATAGGAGTTTGCGCAGGACTATCTTTTCAGCAATTTCTATGGCACAATAGAAATTGCTAATGGGTGTCGATACACGATTGACCCAGGCAACTCCTTCGAATTAGTATCAACTGATCGATGTGTTACGTATTCGGAAACTCGGTGGGGGTTGATCGCGTCTCGAAAGTCGGGCATTTTCAATCGCAGTCAATTTACACCTCGGAGACGTTCTTTCGACCACCGCCTCTCTAGACGAGGATAAACAAAATAGAGGCCCGTCGTAATCGACTCGAAAACCGGCGAACCTCGGCCACGCTACCGTTCGATGCTAATCATCGTTGAAAACCGAAAAATAAGACGTTTCTCTAAAAGGTGTTTGCCTTAGACATTACCGACGGGTAAAAGCGGATAACTGACTGCGGTCAGGCTCGGAGTACTGGCATCCACCTTAAACCGAGTCCACATGAACCACACGTATGATGAATCTCGTCTGTAGAACGGTAATTTTTTTCTTCTTCTACTTCTACTTATTCTCCTGTCGGTTGACGCTACCTGCCCCGCGGCGATAATACGTGATAATTGACACCTTGTACGTGTTACGTATGTACACAGGTACGCGTTCGCGTTTGAGACACGCTCACATTAGTACGTACATTGTGAAACTGTGCTACACCTAAAGACAGTTTCGCCATACGGCTTAGCCCTCTGCTTTTCGCAGTCGCCATTCGAGTCCTTTTCAAATCTGATTATACTTTTCATTCGTCGCTGTAAAAAGTCATTGTAAATGAAAAAACGATGGAATTCGAAAGCTGACAGAATTTCATTCCCTATTTCATCGAAAATCTATACCGGAAAAATTGATCTTAGGTGTTGTTGACCTCCTCAAATGATCGTGGATATACCGGTCAGAATTAATCTATTTAGACTTGTCAGTATATATTTGGTGTTGATGGAATTCGATATGATGTCGTTAAATATGAATAACTGGAACCAAGATAGAGACCAGTGAATGAGGAAGGGTGGTGATTAGGAAACTTTCATCAATCAATTATCGATTTCTGATTCCCCGTTAGAATTCGATTTTGTTTATCTTTGAAGACATGTTTTATTCAAACGAAACTGTTTTTCTAGCTATACTCTAAAAACTATTTCTTTATTTTTTCATTCTAATCACGATGCATCCTGCCTGAACATTACGAAAACGAAGCTCGACACTCGGGTCTCAACTTGTTCGCGCCTATGTTCTTTTAAAATCTTTCGACCGGTGTGTTCGAGGTGTTCGGGTAGAATTTGGTGAGACAAAGAATTTCACACACCTCTCGTCTTCCGAGGCATCTTCGAAGGTACAAGGTCCCTGGATAAGGTGAAGCGTAACTCAACCAAGACAGGTTGCATCGGGATGTTATGGTAAACATACAGCGAAAGATCTCGCACCTAGGTGCGAGACCAGGCTCGAAGTTTGCCTGCGTAAACAGACGAGAGGACGGAGTTTATGTTTCTGTCTCAAATTCCTTACATGCAGGCGCATAACCCCTTCGAGCGATAATGCACCGTAACGTTTAACGACTTCGTCAAAGAGGTACCGGGTTCCTCGATACTGTTTGCACATCGTCTTTTTTAGAGGGCCACGGTCCAAAAGTTTGGCAAGACGATTATCGAATCGCCTATAAGCGTCTGCGTTTGTCCGCCACGTTAATATTCCTCTCTCTTTTTCGGTACAGAAAATATTCCTCTCCTAAAAAGATCCGTTTGCGATCTAACCTGGTCCAAATCACGTTTTAAACACTGACACACAAACTTTTATTGCTCTTCTTAACGACCTCGTCGAATCACCGTTTGTAAGTGTCGAATCGTTCTTTAAAATTGCATAATTATCTCAGTGTTAATTCGATCCACTTATGACGATATCAGTTTGTTGCATATTAAGTAATTGTTTCCAAGGCAGTTTGTTTTGATGACTTATTTAAATCGAATCAAATTTCTCGGTAAATACTATTTACTATTTAGATAATTATCTTACCGAGGGAATTCAGTCCATAACTAGCTTGATAGACAGTCTGCGACGGACTGCTGATAGGGAGCCCGGAATTACCAAGACCCAAGCTCGAACCTAGGCTTCCCGTACTTTGCTGACCAAGTTGTCCTAAACTTTGCCCAAAACCACCCATCGTCATCCCTCCCTGGCCCAATTGTCCGAGACCTGTGAAACAAGTGTTTTCGATTAAAACGAACACGCGACAGGGGTCATTGATTTCTTTGTTAAAAATAGAATTAATAAAAGAAGAAAATGACATATAGTCGATACACTTGATAATTTAAACTGTCCTGCCCGGCGGACAGAATAGAATTAAAATAGTAGAATAATTAATACAAGTAGATGTAGAACCTTGATTAACAAGTCTAATCGGGAAACAGTGATCTGAAAAATCATTGAACTAATCAAAAGAAAGTAGGTATATCAATACTCCGGATGATTGAGATCGCGGATATTGAGGATCCGGTTAATCAAAGTCCTACTGCAAATATCTATGGATGTCTAACCTGTACCCATTCCCCATCTTTCAGCAGGTCCATGAAACATTCCAGCACCGCAAAGATCGGAGCTCATTGGACCAAACGGAGGCAGACCATGCGATGGTAGCAGAGTGCCGGTGGAACGGTAAATCGGCGCGGACTTCTTCCGTTTTTTCCACTTCGCTCGGCGATTTTGAAACCACACCTGAAAACGTTCAAGTAAGTGGCAGGCTATATCATTATCGTCGTAGAAGATGAAACGAATACTTTGTCGATACGAAAAAATGGCACCAGAAAATCTATCGAGGTGCAATGTTATTTTTTCTTCTGCGATGAGGCGATTCTTTTACGAAAGCAAATTCGGCGCGAGACGTTAAGATGTCCCTGGGTGTTACGACAATATCTTCGACCCCAGGGCGAGTAGCTATTAGCCGACGTTATGAGCTGTTGATTCTGGCCACGTAGTGGCCCCCTAAGCTGCCGGGGTCCCGGGGACTTGATTTATTGATATCGCATGCAAAGCCCACCCCTGTGTTCTCTCCGATATACCCTCGGCCTACATCCCCACCAGCCGAACCTCTTCCACCCTTGTTCCACGGACTACAGTCCCTTTCCTGGCACGGTAAAGCGCGCTATAGCCATCTCATATGTGCCCATAAATTAGTACTTTAGCATTAGAGCCACGGGATGCGCGCTTGCGCCTCCGACGCACACGTAGCAACGCGTTTCGTACCTGCGAAAGCATACCGAGTTTCGCTTCCGGTTAGCCGAGAGGAAACGAGACAAACCATTCGGCTCGAGGGGTGGAGACACCCTCTGCTAACATGCAGGGATTATACGAATCTAATTGGATATATGGGATTTACACGCTCCAGTGTACTCCAGGTATTGCTAGAAAGCGATCGTCGGATTTCTACGGCGAAGACGGTTTATTATGAACCACGAACTTTCAACAACGAAAACTATTGTGTTCACCTTAGTTATTAGCATCGTCTTTTGAACTTTGTAAGATTTCGGTAGACTTGAGAAACACGGCCGCTAGAATACGAAAAGGATTAGAATTTATTTTTAATTTCGCAAATTAATAATTAAGTATGAATTAAAGGAATAGGATTTTAGTCATTTACCCTGTTTCTATTATACTTTAGCAAAATAACTTTTTGACCGATTTACCGTCTATGGGGATATCTTGGTTCATTTGGCGAAGCTTAGGAACATCTGGCACGTCTGCTGCCTCTCAAGGATGAACGCTCGTGACGAGAGAGTAGCATTAGAGCTGGATGGGTGTTAAGTGCATTGGGATCGAATCAGTGTCTATGGATCGACCATTGGCGTAGCATTTAACGATAATATCTTCTATCTAAATGTCTAAAGATCAAACGTTTAGAAAATCTTTCGCCTTTGCAACGGAAAAGAACCTCGTTCGCGTCAGGGTAAAAATTATTCGGGCGGATCGGGTCGAGTTTTGAAATATGCAAAATCTGTTCCCCCTTTCGTCTTGCCGGGATGTCAATGTTTCTTGCCGCGTTCGTGGGTGTGGTTGCCACGATTTCACGGTACAACTACGGTAGAACTACGGCTAAAAGCCCGTGGATAATTTGCTGTTACACGCCACGTGAGCATCGACGATGCAAGCCAGAAGAGGGGAAAAAGCACAAGGGACTGTCGCACGTATATATCCCGCATTATCACTTGCACCCTCCCTCTTCTCATCCCCCTCCACGCGTGGCTGATGCATCCTGCATATGTACGTACGCTAGAACTTCCGTTAATTAACGCAGGTGAATGCTAATGACTCTTGTTACGAAATAACTGCACGCAAAACGAGAGCTTTCGTGCGTCGGATGATCGTTCATCTCTTTGCTTCTTCAACGCGTTCTGAATGCTTTCTAATGCATCAGGGCTGCAATCCTTGCTATTCCGACTTTTATTCGATACCAATGACATATCAAAGTATCGTTAATAATCATCATAAAGCAGGCGTGCCTTGAATAGTTAGTGGCGATCACGAATACCAATTAAATTGCTTTAATTATAAATGTGACGATACGAGTAATCACACAAATGGAACTATCGTCCTCTATGATGACACGCTGACAAAGGCGGTCAAGCTCAAATGTTCCTGCACTAATTGCATACCTAGTGTGATCCATAGATTAGTGCTCATTAAGTTGGAGGTATTTTAAAAATCATCTATAATCTATAGTTGTCGTTAAATAACCACACGAATCGATATATGTAGTTCGGCAATCATTAAATAGTAGCTACACGACTAATGAAAGAGTCAAGAAAACGAAATAAAGTTTGAGAAAAGGATTATCGAAGATGGTCAATCGACTATTAACGCAGAGATTGGAAAGGTAAAGGGTCTGAAACGGTTGGATCGAAGGCACGGTACACACCTTTCGATGACTAAGGTTGCCCGACCGATGGCTTTCGTGCGGGTCAATTAGGAACATTGCTTTTTAAAAATTGATCAATCACCGCATCGCCGTTAGCTAGGCGCGTGCGCCACGGCAGCTGTTCCCAGGAAGCACCTGGAATCACCTGGAATCACGGCGAGGGTGAAAACGAGCTGAAATGCTCTCGAATAATCAGCATCAGTCGCGATGACGGCCTCGAAGCGACGTTCGATTGGAACGTACGAGCAAATACGCTATCCAGAAACACTGTCCCGGTGTTTCTATGTCGGTAAGAGAATTTCTATCGTCGTTTAGCCGTGTTTCGCGTTTTCAACGATCCCTCCATGAAACACGTTTCACGTTTCGAAACGTGAGAATTTATTAGAACGTCCCATTCACGCGGTTTAATTACACTCTTCGTTAAACGAGATTTACTTTTTCGTCGGACCGGATTCATCCGACACGACGCTTCCATCCGACCGCGAAGTTGACACTGAATTTGCATAAACGATTATTGTCAGTCGCGATTCATTGTACACGAGTGGTCGGAGAAATGGACCCACGTAAATTTACCGTTTCGGTGCGAGACTGATAACGCGTCAATTTTTAGAGGTGTGAGGTTACGAATGATAAAAAGCACATTCCATCATGTTAAATATAATTGAAGACAATCGAGGGAAAGAGTTGAGAAATGCGTGATTCTTTCTATTTTTCCACGTCAATCGCGAATAGCTTAGCTTAACTGTAGAAAAGAGTTCCCGTGAGCTCTGAGGGGTCTGTAGGTGGCGAGAATCAAGGTTTGGCCGAGTTCTGGGGTGGCCTAAGGTTAGGGTGAGGTTTAGGAGGTGAAAGAGGCGGCGAGACCTCGTAAAGGGGGTTTCAACGGGCGTTGATATAAATTGAGCTTGCCATCAAGGCAAGCGGCGGGATCTGCCCAACACCCCAAGATATATAGAAGTAGCTTTCAGCACGCCATTGAAGAATAGTTCGACTCACTTCGCGGAAAAATGCTCGGAATCGCCGCAAAGCGAGATGACGTTTTTCTTTCGAGATTTTTCGTCAATTGCGCTTGATGGAAAGGAACGATGAAAATTTAATTCATCATCTGGCGTTCTCTTATCTTTTGACGATAGAGTCTTTTGTCTACATTTTCAACCCCGTTTTCATGCAGTTATTAAGGTTCTATTATATGTATTTTCGGTTTGTCAAAGTCTACAAGTAGAATAGGACAATCACTGGTCAGACGAACGAATGGTGTAAGTTAGCTCACAGATTAAAAGGATAAATTCTAATTCAAAAATTGCCAATTCTGTGACAAAAATGTTTTTGAATTCTTCATAAATTACACAGTCCCATGTAGATTGTTGCAAGCATACTTCTTTAGGAAGATAAATCCAGTTTGGTAATTCAGACTAATTTAACGACAGGCATCGTCTTAAGGCAACGGTATTGCGTTCGTAAAATAATAATAAAGCATAAATGGATCAAGTTTACGATTCTCTGTGCACGCGGGGGTTGCAAGTATGCATTTTATCGGTAGTTACGCTCGTTTTACTGGTACCTGTATTTCCTCGAGATTACTGACAGTATCTTTAAACACTTCGAGGAAAGTTTATTGGTATTTGACGTGTGCGTTGTAATAATTAATAATTTATAGATACGAGGGTAAAAATAAAGTTGAAATCAGTGCGGTTTCGAGGGTGATCCTAAAATTTTCATTCCGCGTGACATTAGATCATGACGATCCACTAATGGCCCAACGAAAATGTCCCTCCTGACGACGTGGCGCAGCGTGAAACAGTGGGCGGTCCGGGTAATGCGTCTTGCCACCCTCGGACAGGAGGCCAACCACCGTCATCAATCAGGCTAGCATCGTACAAACTTATGTAGTATTTATTTTCATTAAACATTAGCCGGCTAGCGCCATCGAATCACCGTTTTCTTTCACTACATTCCGACGAAAATTATCTATCCCCGCTATCGATTTGAAACCAATCAATAATCAAACCGTAGCTGTTGTTCGAACAGATGAATTATCAAACTGATATTGATCGAAATCATGCTCGTTCAATGATTTCTTAATGCTTGATAGTTTATTCAATGGTTGGAAGATCGAAACGGAGACAGGCATTTTAATCAATTTCGAATAGTATAAATAGTAGAAACATTTATTTGCTTGTAATAAATATCACTTTATTAGCCGCGTTTCAGTTCCTCTTAAATAGCATTAGTTACTTCAAATTGTACGCGCTTTACGAATAACTTTTTCTACAGCACGAATATTTGAAAATGCAACATAGAACAGTCACGTTGTATGTGGAACAGAGTACGCATGCATTGAGGTTTGTCTGACCAGTGATCGCCTTATTCTACTTGCAGTTTTTGACATACCGAAAATATAGTAGAACCTTAATACTATTCTTCCTCTTGCAATTTACAAAATCGAGTAAAATTTGGACTTTTCAAAGCAACGATTCATCTCGCTCGATCGATGTAGAACCGTGGCGATCGATTTCACCCCGACAGGTCCTGTATTTTCGCGGCTACGAAATTATTCAGAGCCGTTAGACGTCATAACAAAATGGGCGTTAGATGATGCTCCCTGGGGTCATCGCGGCGACATAGTTTATCCATTGAGAACCCCAATTCTCCTGCTCCATACCAAGCTACCGCGTGTGTACACGGGGATGCTTTTCTCTTCGCGTGTTCATAGCTGGGTGGTGTTTGTGTGCGTGCAGCACCCGGCGTGATATTTTTCGGCCGACGACACGTAAGAGCTAATATCGTGGTCTATGCATATTTA